TTTTCGGTATATATTCCAACTCTTTTGATGTTAAACTGTGCAGATCGTCCGATATGATGAGAAACATTTTGATTACTGAGCGATATCATTTTATGCATCCCTATAAATAGGCCCGCTCGCGAAACCGTTTTTGTGGAAGGAGAAAATATGCGGTTCGTTCGCCAGTCGCGGACGATCAAAGTGACGACTCTCGATGGAAAAGTGCGAACCGATAAAAAGATGCGCAAGCATGGTAGCATGCTGCCAACCTCTATACGCGCTATCGTTTGCGGATCGTCAAACTGTGGAAAGACGAACGTGCTGATAAGCCTGTTGGAAAGTCCACATGGCGTACGATTCGAGAACGTGTACGTTTACTCGAAATCGCTCCAACAGCCGAAATATCAATATCTGACGAATTTGCTAACGCCGATCAAAGAAATTGGCTATTTTACATTCTCTAATAATAGCGATGTCATTCCACCGTTGTTGAGATATATCATTGTTGAGAAAAGATGACAATTTGTCTAAACTAGAAGCGAGAAATCTATATGAATCTATGAAACGTAATTGTATGCAGTTCTTTTGATTGATTTTGCTACTGTCAACGTGTTTGGTGAATGAGATGTATTTTTCCTTAGTTATCGGTAAAAGATCAACGCGTCCTTCGTACGCGGTGGCAATTTCCTTGATAATGAAATGAGCATCGTAGCTAGATAAGTTATGGAAAAACTACGGGTATGCAATGCGAATCCTTATAATTTAGATTGTAATTTGGTTGCGCCGGGCCTCTGTATCGCCCGGTTAAGTGGCAGTAATCGCTTACCCGCGTATTGTTTGGTGTAAACGGTTTCTCGCACACGTGACAATGCGAGTGACAGGTGCTGTTAAATTTTTCCCAGTCGTCGCGCGTGAAATCTGCCATGGGAACATTAGCTGTAATTGTCGACTGTACACTGCGCTAGATTTTTCAATTCTTCCGCGAACCACGCTGTACAGTCTTTGTCACGGCGAAATTGGTAGCCTGACAGTGAACTGTCGTAGGAGCAGTGCCCGATACTAAAGATGTTGTGGTGTTGGTACATGTGCGTAGCGGATTGTGAGTCACTAGCCATCTTTTCCAATGTGCACTCAAGATCGGCGTAGGCTACGAATGGGATGCACTCCTTCCTGCAGTGGTTGCAGAAGCTCAACCACTTGTCGTCCCCGCTCGGTAGTCTTATCGCACAATCGTTCAATTTCCCACAATCCTCACTGTGGGTCTCCAGTTTTGCGCTCGAGTTAAAGTAGTGGAGGCATCTGAAAAAATTATTATTATAATTTTTATTATTATTATTTTTATTATTATAATTATTATTATTACTTATACATACCTATCGCAGAAATATTTCTTGTGCCCGTATCTATTGATTTGCGAACTGACAAGGCGGGACAGATCTTTGATCAGCGCGAAATGTCCAGCGCTGTCATCCTCCACGTACACGAGGTTTACGTGTTTACTGCTCTTTCGATTGGTGAGTCGTATCGGCACAATCCCCTTCTCGATGGCGTAGACATTGATGGAAATGTCGTTGAGAGTTTCAAATTTTTTTCATTTGATGTAACGTCATCGGAAACTGGATATCTTTGAGATTCAGTACCGATGAGTAGTGCGGATACGAGAATTCTCGATATGCATTTTCTTGAACCGGGTGTAGAGCTGCAACCACCGACCACGCGAAACACGCGTTGTCTGTGGATCGCACGTTGATCACCGCTCTCTTCAGCATAATTTCTCGCGAGAGTTTTGATATGACATCCCGCACGCAGATGATTGTACCTATTCACGTTTACCGTTAAATTGAGGATACGTGACAATGCCCACCCGCTGTCACGTTCTTGAGCTAGAATTGGTTCAATGACGCGCGACATGTACCACTCGCGCAAATCTGTGCATTGATATAGTTCATAGTTCTGGGTGGTGATACTTCGCGCGTTTGTCACCAGCCACGAATTCATCGTTAAATATTGTGTTTATCTTTAAAGAGTCATACTCTGTAAAATACACTGCACACGCTCGAGCACAATTTCACTCGCGTCTTCGAGGAATCGGCGAGGTTCGATATAATTAGAGCTTATTATCGCGCCGGTTAGAATCCGGCTTTCGAATGCTGTTTCGATCTCTCGCCATCGAAGTCCATATCCTGTGCTTACATGCACAAATCGTCCGCACACCGAATCCTTCAAGCTTTCAAGTCGCGCGATACATGCGATCACCGATTGTCTATTACCGGTCGATAATCGTGGGCGTTTAATACGGCTCTGCTCTTCCAGAGATTCTATAAATTCGTCGCATCGCTGTTCCCACGCGACATACTCTTCTCTTGTTTTTTTTTTTTTTTTTAGTAGGATACCTTGCTCAATCAAATCTCGCTCCATGTTGTCACTTTTGCTGTTAGATTGACTAATGACGCGATGCGCCTAAATACTTACATATTTATACCATTATTTGTGCTATTTATGATGATGATATCATCGTGAAGCATTTAAAATGTCCTAGAAAAATTCTTTCATTACGCTAAATCTAACATGGTTGTTGTAATCAAACATTATTGATGTGCAATTACATCATATTGCGGAACTTTTTCGCAACCGCTGCATTTTTGTGGTATCAAATTACATTGATGATTTCATCATCGGATGTATCTAAAATCTTTTGTTGCAAGGTATGCATTTTTAACTATTGTTGAGTAGTGGGGTTTAAACATTAAAAAGGAGGTGAAACGATGTTACTGTATCAGTCGCTCGAAAAAATCGTATTTTAGTGATCATCAGTATGGATTCTCGTGTTCAGCATGAACCGTGCAAGTAAGTATATCACTTATATCTGCAAAAATGTTTTCTACAGACTGCTTATTCGTTCGTTGCAATGCACGTAGCATTTTGAAGAGGGTGTTCGCGCTGACACCTACAGCGTACAAGTTTCTGGAGATCGGGATCGTCATGGGACCAATGTCTCACGTGGGAATTGCCATCGGTGACACTCGAGGCAACCGCATCGTCCTGCCTCGTGCTACGTGGACGGCGTTCGTCGAAAAAAAGGTCGATATCGAGCGATTGGTGCAGTCGACTACTCCCTCGTCATTAGTGATTCAAGACTGTGTGATTGAACTTGTTAAAATACACGTTGTGAACACTGTGAAATTATCTTTGTGTAATAAGTATTTATATATGAAACCATCGACCATGCTCTTCATGTTTGAACTGGAACAATGTGTTGAACATGTATATTCCGATTTGTGTCAATGTACAAATAGTGTAAGCGATAAATTTAAATATTTCATTACATATTTACGTCAAAATTGTATTATGAACAAATGCGATACTATAAATAACTTGCGTAAGATTTATGATAAAAACTCACATATTGAATTGTCACCGGAATCACTAGTTCCGGGACATTCGGTCGTCCTTCCCAATTCTTTGTCCTACGGTCGCCACGTTCTTTGTCCTCCAAGAACGAAGGATGACCTACCGATTCTCCCCTCGAACTTGCTGTCGCGCCGTGCTTCACGCTCGACCTTTGGGTGAGGCGGCGCCTGCGTCTTTGGGGGGTTGCT